GCAAAGTAAGATATTCCAGGGTAAACTCTGAAGATTAACTTTGCAAACTGCAATATATTCTGCAATAATGAGAACTGGGGGAGACAGAAACAGCCAAGTCTATCTCCACTCTCATCAGAAAGCCCAGTTTAATAAGCAAGATGGGCTCCCTACATCATTTGTTCAGATTTTCCATTACTTAGCAAATATGTCTGTGAAGGGAAAATCATCATATTGGCTTATATTGTACTTGATGGGAATTACAATCCCTCCTACTTTAAAGTGAATTCCTGTCATGCCAAATGTCCCTGGAGCTAGACTCTAGTGCTAATGGTTTTCTATTTTATTTAATCCTGTTACTTTGTGCAGTCATACTAAGAGGCAGCTCTCTTATCCAGTCAATGCAGGTCTAACACTTGAATCACTCAAACTTTCACTTGCTCATCCCTTATATTTCATACCTCCATTCAGGTAAAAATGTTGACCCAACAAAGATTAAGAGCAGATATCTACCTTCACCAAAAGCTTCCCTCTGTGCTTGAGTATTGCTTTTCAAATGGCTCACACACAGCTCATATTTCTCTTTACTTGTCCCACAGATATGAGGTGTGACTTGTTAAATGTAACAGTAAAATCTCTTATCTGTAAGCATTTCCCTAGCCTCCAAACTATGACTCTCCTAAAAGAAAATGATGACAAATTTTATCATCTAATTTGCCCGAATCTTTCCCATTTCTGAAAATCCATGTATTTGTCCACTTCAATTGAATCCACATACATACACTCTTCCCATGGAAAAGTGATATCATGAAAGGAAATTATGTGCCTTACAATGTATGTTAAAAATCCAGAAAACCCAAAATAGCTAATGGGTACTTGCTATGGACCAGGTCTATGTAGGACATAATACATGACTTGTCCCTTGCCCTTAGCATCAGAATGTTTAGAAGAATCAGTGCTACATTCTCCCTTATGTTACAAGCTTCTCATCTCTTTTACTAATTTGTCTTTATCCCCTGACACACATCTCCAGTTCTACCTTCTTGCTGCACTCCATCCTAAAGACCACATTTTCATGCTTTCCCTTATCCATTCAACTAATTAGCTCATCAGTATCAGATATCACCAGCATTATCCTCTCAACTCATACGTCCAACTTGACTGTCTGGCAGAGCCTCGCATCTTTCAATAGATGAAAAGGAACTTCACTTAATATAATCAGATCCAGCCATCAATGCCCCTCCTATATAAGGACTTAACTGATCTCCACAAACAGAACATTTCTTATTTTTGCTGTGTCTATGCTTCAATGCAATCTTATATTTCTACTGTAGCATTTTACATATAACTGCCTCAGCCATGTACAAAATCACAATGATGTACACATATATAACCTCCATTAGGTAACAGGCAGAAGAGGAGAGTGAAGTGAAAAGAAAAGTTGAGATTTAAAGTCTTCTTTCTTGGTCCAGTTTAACTTAACATAGTCCTGAATTCTTCATCTTTATAAGATGCCCATTTTATAAGGACATTGTGAATTTGACCAGAAACTGATGGAAAATATCTTAAACTTAGAGGGGGCTCAAATAGGATGCTTCCAAATGGTTTGTTTGCTCTAAATTCTGGAAGAGCACTCAGTCTTGACTTTGTTATGAAAATATTTATGAACACCTGCCTAGCTCCTTTCTAGAGATGCACACTGAAATGAAATCAAAATCCTTTTATTTACTATTAAAGCATCCTTCCAGAGGGAGATTTTAGAATAGGAGAACCATTAGAAGCTACTATTCTCATCTTTTCTCCCCTTAAACCATTTCTTTCTGAATCCACAAAAGAATAACATAAATAGTACTCCTTTTCAACTACCTACTTTAGTAAAGTCCACTGACATCACTATAACTTTAGTGAAAATATGAGAAACAGCTTCTCAAAAGGTATTTGTTTCATTACAAGATGCCTGTAAGGAGCAAACAGCATTTATTATGTCAAGATGCTAGAATTTAGTGTCTCTTTGAGTTTCACAGGTTTCTTTGTTCCTTTGACTTTGGCAACTTGCAATATCATAGTGGGTTTAATTAATTACTTAACTCCTTAATAGGAAGTATTCATTGAAGAGCTGAGGATGCTCCTTTTTTTGTGACCATCTTTTTGTTCTACCTCTTTTTACAATGAAAGTATAGTCTTTTCTTGGTACTCACTGGGGGATTGGTTCCAGGATTCCCACAGATACCAAAGTCTGCAAATGCTCAAGTCCTATTTTTTTTTTCTTTAGTACCAGAGATTGAACCCAGGGGTACTGAATCACTGAGCTACATCCCCAGCCCTTTTTATTTTTGATTTTGAGACAGGGTCTTGCTAAGTTGCTTAAGGCCTCACTAAGTTGCTGAGGCTGACCTCGAACTCGCAATCCTCCTGCCTCAGCCCCTGAAGCTGCTGGGATTAAGTGTGTTTGCCACCACACCCAGCTCAAGACCATTTTATGCAAAATAGTATAGTATTTGCATATAGTATATACACATCCTCCTATATACTTTAAATATTTTATAGGTTACTTACAATACTTAATATCTTAATACAATGTCAATGCTATATAAATAGTTGTTATGCTTTATTGTGTAGGGAATAATGGCAAGAAAAAATCTGTACCTATTCAGTACAGATGCAAATTTTTTCCAAATATTTTAATCTGCAGTTTGTTCATCTGTAGATACAAGGGATCAATAGCACTCAACTGACATTTTGTACATTCTTAGCCCTATGCCAAGAAAAAAAAATTAAGTCAGGAATGAAAGAATGTTAAACTGCAAATACTTTTTTTCATCAGATTCAAACATTCCTATTTTGGAGTATTTCACTCTCTTTAGTTTTCCAGAAGGCACAAGACAGAGACCTAGGAAACCTCAGAAACAAACTTGGACCTGTTTACTGAATAACAAATGTAGAATATTTATTAGACTTTAATACTGATTGAGAATATTCCTGATCATTCTTATAATTGATTCACTTAAGTATTTTATTAGAGAATAACAGTTTATTATTGGAGGAGGCCTCAGTAGTCAAAGGTAAACAAACTGACAGGCCATGGGCCACATGTGTCCCAGACATATTTTTAAAGTTGTCCTTACAGTTTTTGTAAGCCCACATTGTAAAATTCATTTTACAATGACAAGCATAGTTATTCTTGGATACCTTCAGAGGATTGGTTCGAGGAGCCCCACATAAAGAAATCCAAAATCTTCTGTTTTCCTTGAAAATTTAGTATGTTTTAAAGACCAGGCAGAAACAACTAGCTTCAGTAAAGAAGAAGCTGCCCTCTTTCTGGTGCCTTCTGGTGCCTGTTGCAGAGGCCAAAGTCCACACCCGCTCTCTCAGATGTCTCCTACTAGGCTGCTCCACTTCTCTATCTCACCTGTCAGACCCCTGAACACATTTCAAATGTAAGCACAACTTTTTTTTTTAAGGCAAAGAGCCTCTATCCAGAAAGGGCTTCCCCACTGACTCCCTCTGTGACCTCTACAAGGTTTGAATCTTGGGTGTCTCAGCTTTATACTGAAGGTAATTCTTTGACCTCATGATTATTATGAGGATTGATAAAGAAATAAATGAAAAGTGCTTTGTAAACTATAATGTAAAATGTTTGTCATCATTTTTTCATCTCTCAGCATTCTGTGAGCTGCATAAATCCCTTTTACCTACTTCAGTTATTATTTGTCTTCTTTGTTCCTCTTATCATTATACCATGCATGACAGTTTAAAATCTAAATTAAGGAATTTGTCATATTTTCCTTGCTTTATTTAACAAGAGGTAGAAAAGATGAACAAATATCAAAGGAAAACAAAATGAATTACTGAATGACAGTGAATCTTTATTTAGTCATTCCTCTTTGTGATGAAAGTATGAAATTAGTGCAAAGTGTAATTACTGGATTGCTGATGCCTTCAAGTACTGTGTTACAAGTTCATCCACCAGGCACTTGAGGTACAACCAAAACTGACACCCCAAGTATTAAGGGGCTTCTGTGAAATTAGGGCCCTAACCAGCGTTTTGCTAAAGAATTGAGTACATCAGAATCAAAAAATAAAAATCTACATCTTAATATGAGTTCTAATTAGACTCTGGGGTTTTAAGCCATGGCTTACATTTTATATCTATCAACATATATAGGTATAGAAATACTTCCTCCTCAAATCAACAAGAGGTTTGAAAGAAAACAGAATCTTCTCAGAAATGGGCAGAGGTGCAGAAAACTGCCTTAATTAGTGATGCAGTGGATACTAAAATGTTAGCAAAGCTGCATTTCATGAATACTATATTGTTATCTTAGGGATTCACAAATACGTATTCCCCTTCTGGTCAGTTTACAACAGATCATCCTGATGTGGGGAACCACAATACAATCATCTGCTTTTAATTGTTAAGAATCACGCCTAAGTGAACTGCAAAACAGAACTGAAAATAGAAGGGAAGAATAGATTTAAATTGGAATCAGCATTCTTTATATCACCAAAATGGAACTAATTCATTATTCAAAACACAATCCGTTGAAAATTCATCTGAAGAATCCTTTTTAAAGCATATCGTATACCGCAATTACAGCTTTTCTTGAAGTTGAATGAAACCGTCGCCTGAATACAAATTAACGAATGTCAAATTGACACAAGATTTCCAGTGTATATTTTATTTTAAAAATCAAAATAAATAACAGCATCATTTAAGAAACCAGTTCTATTCAATAGATGTCCCAAAGCTAATGTTTAAGCAAGTCTCCCTGGCAACCAAGGAACACAGTGCATATTGGGCTGGGGGGAAGGATAGAAAGGGGGAGCAACTCCAGGGTTGGTAGAATAAGTAACCAGAGTAGTAATTGCTCCGCTAGACGACGTTGGTAGAGGCTGTATGTCCCTGAAATTTCAACTCCAGTTCTCGCCCCCTCTGGCACAACAGCAGTTTCCCACCCTCTCCCTCGGGTCTGCAGGCACCAACCCGAACAGGTTACTCCCCAAACAGGAGATTGCCTTACCCGATGGGGTGAGCGGTCTGCTTGGTTTTGTACCCGAGGCGGCAGCGCAGGCACCAGGTTCTCCCTGATGCACAATGGCTCTGCTTCGCCCCACGATCCTGGGGTTAAGAGAAATTGCAGTAGCTTCTCTCTGCGGGTTTGGGGATGCAACTGTGAAGACGAGCGCGCCAGTGTGTGTGTGTGTGTGTATATGTGTGTGCGCGCGCGAGTGTGTGTGTGTGTGTGTGTGTCTGTGTCTGTGTGTCTGTGTCTGTGTACGCGCGCGCGCGCGCCTGCCTGCGCGATCCCGGGCTCTCCTGCGGGGAAACAGTGTTCCCTAGTAAATAAAAAGCACCAGCCAGGGCTGCAAGGGACACGTCCGGCTAGCTACCCCAGGCAGTTGTCAACCAGTAGACGCACCTTGGAAGCCCCCGGGTGGGTTGAGAAGCCAAAGCGGCTCCGCCCCCTCCTGCCCCCGGCGGGCCCGCGCACAACACCCCCCCTCCCACGTCCCCCTCTGCTGGAGAACCGGCGCGCACGCTCCCCTCCCCTCCCTGCCCCCTCCCCGCCGCCGGCGAGCCAGCGCGCACGCCCGCCCGCTCTCCCCGGAAGTCCCCCTTTTCTGTACTGCCGCCCCCCTTTTCCCTCTCTGGCACCTGCGCCGCTGGCCGTCGGGTCACATGCACACCCTGCAGCCGCAGATGCGGCCCCTGCTGTGACGAATTACACTATAGAACCTAGCCTGCTTACCCCAGACTCTCTTTCCAGGACTTGCCAGCAACCTGTGCCAACCGAAGCCATGACCCCAACTTGCTGTGGAGAGTACTGGTCCTGTGCTTTCCCTTTCCCTGACCTAGGGAACTTGTAAAGTTCAAGTTCCCTCTATTTCAAGAGGCCCTAAAGTGGCCCTCCTTAGGATTATACATGTTAATGTTGAGAACAAAATCAAGATAACTTGAGGAAACTTGATCCACCTCTCCCTAAAAGGTGGACTGAAGTCCTGAACCTGAAGAATAAGTAAGGGTATTTGGTTATAGCTAATTCTGAATTGAAACCGCAGACAGAGAGCAACCTCAGAACACATCACTGAATTCCAGAGCCTGGCACACTTTGAGACCATTCATTAATTCATTCTTTTGAAAAGCCTGCTCAAAATTCACATTTGAGTGAAATGATTAGTTTTAATGTGTAAATGTTAGACCTGTGAATTGAAAACCTTGGTCACATGTGGAGTTAATCCACTGGAACAAGACAATATAGCTTGACATTAGAGATAACTATATTTTGTAGACACTCAATATTTAAACTTCTACAGGATTGGAAGGCTCATTCCTTGAAGATTTATGTTCTTGGGCTAGGAAGTATCTTTTTGGAGCATCCTTAATATTCTCCTTAGTCCCAAATCAGTTTCAGAGGCTGTTTTCCACTTTTAAACTTTCCAGATTTCTAGGTTTATTTGTTCCTGTGGGACCTGTCTTTTTCTTCCAGTGAGTGCTTTATTCCCATGATCTTGATATTTGTACATTAGGAAGCTGAGCACCTACTCATCAAGCAGTCCTGGACACCAGGATAGGAACAGAGAAAAGAATGACAAACAACTAAATGCAAACAGTAGATGCAGTGTCATTCTCTAGAATTTTTCATAAACAACTGATATTTTCCATTGGATGTTATTTTATACTTGAAGATCAAATAAGAAAGTATTTTTGAACCCAAAATATTAACAATGACTGGTGTCAATAAACAGAATACTCCATTAAGATTTACAAGGTGTCACTAAATTAACAACACTTAATATGTTAATGTAGTGTATATATATATATATATATATATATATATATACACACACACACACACACACACAGACACACATACACATACATTTATATATCTCCAATATACCCATTGGATTATCTTTTTTGAATAAATAGCTTCTATTTATTAAATATAATCAAACAGTGCAAATAACTGCATGTACACAGAAAAAGAATCTTTATTACTACCAATTTGCCATCTGTATGATAAGGAAAGGTCTCCTACAGCCCTAGCTGGTGTTTCTTGTTTATTATCCTATCCCTTGACCCTAGCTCATTATCTGTCACATAGAAGTGACTCAATAAATATTGCTTACCTACATCTAAGATGTTGAGGAGTAAATAAAAAAAAAAAAACTATGTTAAATAAGAGACTCAGTGTTTGTTAGGTAACCACCGAAACTCAACACAAACATATTTTCCAATATTACTAGGGCTTTTAGATGCTTTCTCTCTCAAATATCATTAAATTCAGTCTTTCTCCTTACTAAGAAAATAGTTTAGACTTTTTAAAAGCTGTTTTTGTTTGTTTGTTTGTTTTGAGAGAGAGAGAGAGAGAGAGAGAGAATTTTTTTAATATTTATTTTTTAGTTTTCAGCGGACACAATATCTTTGTTTGTATGTGGTGCTGAGGATCGAACCCGGGCCGCACGCATGCCAGGAGAATGAGTACCGCTTTAGCCACATCCCCGCCCCTGTTTGTTTGTTTGTTTGTTAATTTTTTGTTTGTCTCTGGAATACTGACCATGTGTTGAACTTTTCGTTTTTTGGCCCTTATAATGTTAGGCAGTGTAATCATTAAATGACTTTTAGTTGTCATTAAGAGACATTGTCCCTGTTTCAATCTAGTGATATTATGAAAGATGAGCTGAGGAAGAAAAACATGTGGGGTCCTTTGATTGCAAGTAAAAGAAAATTACTTCACTCAATTGGGGATTTAAGAATATAGGGATTTAAGAATATAGGGAGCTCGAGAATTGATAGGAAGCCTCCCTGGATATCCTGGCAGGAATTAGAACATCCACAGAGAACAGAGAAGCAATGACCACAGGATAATTGGGGTAGAGATGTTATGATCCAGTAACTCCCATTATTGGAAGAGATAAACCTCAATCTACTGCTCTTTATACTCCCTGTTCAGATCCCATTTCCAGTTGTCCTAATTTGAAGGCTTGGCCTATCTCTCAGGTGGTCTAGGGTGGAACCCTTGATCACAACCCCCACAGAATTTATTAAAGAAAAATGGGCCTTGGATTAGGTGGAAAATAGCATACATTCATGGCAGGAAATGGGATGTGATTTAAATGTATTGGGGAAACATTAAGAATGGGATCCCTGCCACAATAGTGCATTAAAGACTGAGATCTTACACTAAGGGAGCCACTTTCATTTTCTTAAACTAGTATCCTGGAATTTGGTTGAGTGTGGAGCACTTATTTTTCAACTTACTTCTTACTCTTTGGGGATGTGTTTTGGAACACGAAAGTTTTTGCAGCATTTGTTGTTGTTGTCTCCATCTATCATCAGCTTGTCCATAAACCAAGATGTAAGAACACAGCATAAATCCAACGGTATCATAAGTTTTTATACAATCTGTTTTTTAACAGCTTTGTGAGAATTAGGGAGATTTGAAATTGTCTCTAGACACCAGATGTCACTCTCAAACTACATAATAAAGTAGAGTTATGCCACAGCTCCTTTTTCAAGTCCAGAGCAAACAGCTGCTGTAGCCCTTTTGCTATACCAAGTGAGGAGACAGGTGTTATTCTTAAAGCCAGTGTCATAGATTTCTGTCACAAACCAACAGTGACATTAAGAAATCACTGAGCCATACTTCAATAAATGTACTTCTGGAGAAAACAGATCAATATTAATTATACCAAAATCAAAATTGATTTTTGGCTGATATTCTCTAGTTTTCAAGTAAAAAATACAAGCTAACTCTAGCTAACACCTGCACGTATTCAAGAACCTGTGGGCACATTTTATAGGTAACTCGTTCTGTTCATCAGGGTCCGAGGTCACTCAAAACCAGCCATGCCAAGAGAAAGCTTTCATTGATGAAATGTTTAATATTTACATTTTCTATGTCACATTCTCTGATACCAAATGCTATTCTTGTTTTTTAGTCTATTCTGTCTAATCAATTAGACTTGTAATGGGAGCTTAGTAAAAAGTTACTGTACTGAATAGGAAATAATCCTTATCCATAAGATAGAATATTTTAATTATACTAGTAAGTAGGTACAAACACAATATGAAGGATATTCTTAGTCATCATCAGGGTAAGGCAGATTTAAAACAAGTTATATTTTTCCATGTATCAGAGTGGCAAAGATGTACAAAGATGTTAATATCTAATGTCAGAGAGAATGTTGATAAATTATGAATTTATGAGAAAGGAAATAGATACAAATATTTTATAGGACAGCTTGTCAATATTTACTATTGTTATGTTTTTTTGAAATGCATATGCCTTTGGGTCCAGAAACTCTGCCTCTGATTATTTATCCTACCCTACAGTTACCTCTAACAAAAGCACAAAAACTTACATAAAAAGATACTGTGGGCGATTGGGGCGGTGATGGTGCATTTTGAGCATGTCTCCTGGGAGCGGCTGCAGAGCTCCATGTCCTCTCCTGGACTGTGCTTTGGTGCTGGGCTCACTCGGACTGCAAAGCAGAGGCCTGCTGCATCCACGTAGTCCAGGTGGCACCAAGAGCTTCTCCTGCACAAATATGACAAGTTTCCTGTGAACCCTGGAGCACCAGTTAACCACTGGCCTTCCTCAGAAGTCTGGTTCCAAAGTTCTGCCCATTCCACAAAGCCCAGGTGATCAATGAGGCTGTAAAGAATCTACCAAAGGTGAACTTAATGAAGTCAACCCATTTATGAGGCGCATGGGCAAAGTTCTTCACTGAAGAGAGTATGTGTGGCTTTCTTTGTCATCACCAATTCTTGTTCATCTTGAGTCCTGGGATTATGTGCATGTGCCTCTGAGAAACTGATGTGACTCCATTTTTTAAAATAAATAAATAACAGCAGCTTCTACCTCAAGGCCTGTCCTAAGGAAGGGGGCGTGACCCTTGTCCTTGGAAAAACCCACAGAGCACTCCTAAGCACATACCCACCCTGCTGAGTTGTTTGTCTATAAATAACAGGAGAGATATACTGCGCGCCAGGTGTCCCTGACTCAGTTAGTCTAGGTGAGGACCCATAGCAACCCCCTAGCAACCTCCAATCAGCATGAGATAGGGAAAATATCTGGGATGCCAGATGACCCCCAAGTAGTTTATGGTGGTCGATAACATGTTGGAAACGGTGTAGTTTAGTACGTACACCCCTCGTGGCCTAAACCAATCAGTTCAAAGGAATCACTCTCCTTGTACTAACCAATCACCCCTACCCAACTTGTTCCTGCCAGTGAATGTGCTAATCAATGTTAAGAGTTGTTGTTTGACTTTCCTGCGATATGGAATGATTTGTTGTGTGATGTTGTGACACATAGAGTATCCCCCCAAAACCTATAAAATCTCACTGGACAAAGGACTGGTACTCACTTCCTGGGACCACTGTGTCAGGAACGGTTGTGAGTCCAGGCTTGAGCTGGCAATAAAGACTCTTGTGTGCTTGCATCAG